CCCCTGCTATAGAGACATAAACAATACCCTCTCCTTGGGTGGATTAGTGCCCTGGTCCCTGGATGATATATACATCATTGGGTTTCTTTTTATGGCTGAGTAGTAGCTGTGTATACATTATTACATTTTGTTTATATAGCTGTTGATAGACGCTTGGGTTTACACCTAGGAGTAGAATTGTTGGGTCATAGGGTAGTTTTATGTTAAGCTTTTTGAAGAACAGCCAAACTGTCCTCCACAGTGGCCACACCAGTTTTCATTCCCAGCAGCAGTGGGTGAGGATGCCAATTCCTCTGCATCCTTGCCAACACCTGGTGTTTTCAATTTTGTGGATAACAGCCATGCTAGTCAGAGTGACGTGGTATCTTATTGTGTAATAAATATTCACAAGCTTGGTGAGGTCTGAGGATGTTCTTTGTGGCACAGGGAGGGGTAAGATCAGAAGGGATGCTGAGGCAGAAGGAGAGAACAGTGGGTTACTGTCATTTCCAAAGGGTGGTAAGGAGAGCCCTTTGTGCATGAGGGAATCAGCTCAGAGAGGGAAAGTCATCCTTCCTCCCCACCCTAATGGGGCTGCTGTTGGGTTTCCAGGTCAGCCGCCCTGTCATGGACAAAGTGCCCTATGCTCTGAGGATCGAGACTCCCGAGTCCTGCCTGACCCTGTCTGCAAGGTATGTGGAGGTGAGAGGGCCTAGAATAGAAAGGTACGAGGTGTGGAATCAACAAATGCTAAATAGGTAATCATTTTTTATTTTGGTGTCCTTCGGGATCAGAGGTTTTTTTCTTCAGAATGTCTTTAACTGCTTTTGGGTCACAGACCCCTTAGGGAACATGATTGGACTATTGCTCCTCTCAACAGAAAGATGTGCACACACATAAAACTTTATATAAATTCTGGGGAATTGGAAGGTAACAATACCAGTATTATCAATTTTCTTATCTCTGCACTGCTGCACTGATTAATGGGTCTTTATAGCAATCAAAAAAATTCAAACTAAGGTTTTAATTTCTCTTTCCCAGCTTAAGTCTATTAGTAAGGGCAGGGAAAGAGAAAAAAACATGGCCTTTCCTTGCAGAAAACAAAGCAAACAAGGAAACCAATAGTCAAGTCGGCTCTGGCTCAGGCGACCCCATGCATAAGGAGTAGACCTATGTTCCACAGGGTTTTCAGCATCTGGTGTTTTGGATTGCCAGACGTTTCTTCCAAGTTACCTTAGTGAATTCTGCCAGCCTTACTTATCAGCCACGTGTATTAACCATTTGTATCACCCAGAGACCTCTGTTCACAGTGTCTGCATCTTCCCCAGGCCCTCGTTGCCCAGGGATCACTCATGGCTCACTGGGAAGTCCCTTGATCCCTCTTCCGTGGACACTCAGGAACCAGGTGGGGTGGGCCTGATGAGGCAGCTCTTGGGGGATGGCCAGGCAGGTGGAGTTAGTGCTGGACTCCCCTGTCTCTGCCAGGGTATGACCGTGCAGAGGGCAGAGGGGTCTTTAGTGGGATGCCCTGCCCATCTGCAAGTGTATGTGGTCCTGGGTACCACAGGACAGACGCTCATACTCACGCTCATAGGCACATCTGTTCATTAAGTATCCATTAGTACCTCCGTGGCGTGGTGCCTGGGTTTTGCTGGGAGGAGCCCACAGGTTGGTTGGACAGTTAGAACTGGGCTATATTTAATGCAAATCAATAACTGCTTCAAAGAGTTCATGGACATTTTTCATTATCTCTCAGTTCCCTTTTCCCCCTGCCCTTTTGAACCTCCTTGTACTGTGAAACCCGCGAGAGCTGGAACCTGACGGGACTGGCTTGTTTTCCCAGGTCTCACAACTTTTCCTTTGTCAGGGAACAGTCGCCACTTTTCTGTGATCTATTCACTAGGAAATATTTGTTTTTCCTTTCCAGGTTTCCACCTCACAGGTTCTGAGTTTTCCAGGGTTGATAGTAACTAGTAACAGTGATGGACTGAATGGGTGCTAGTTCCCTGGCATGGCGCTGAGCACTTTCCCAGAGGCCAGGATCCCAGCCCCTTTCCTGGGCAGGGAGTTGGGGCCCAGCTAAGGATCCACACTGCTGTGGAAGACTGCCCCCAGGCCTGTGCTTCAGATCTCTCACCCATGATGATATGCTGCCCCAGGGGACAGGTGTATTGGGAATCGGGAGGAGGGAATTCTAGGCTGGGCTGGGTGGCCTCTCCTCACCTCTTGGTAAAATCAGGGGCATGAGGAGGCCTGGGTGTAGTTCCTGCTTGCCTAGCTGTGAGGGTGCCAGGTCCACACTCCAGTGTCAGATGGGGCTGTCCATCTCCCCCAGACAGAGACGCAGCCCACCTTATTGCTAGCCCAGAGCTCTTACACTGCAACCCCTAGAAGATAGTGAGGCCCACAGACAGCTCCAACTAGGAACATAGCATCCGGCTGCCCACCAAGCCCCTCCCAGGCCAGACTAACTGCTCCCTTGCTCTGCAGAGGAAGCCTGGGTCAGGCTGTGAAGGGTGGGAGTGACCCCTGGTGGCCAGTGTGAGACTTGTCACCCAGCTGCCAAGCCTGTGCACTGCACAGCTCTAGCCCTTTATCCAGAGACACTGGCATGGACATCACTCAGCACTGGGGAAACCCTGCTGGGCAGAGAGAGCACTTGGAAAACCTGTTTGTGGGAAGTTAGGTGGAGAAATGGGGACAGTGGAAACAACTTCAACTGTGATAAACCTGTTCAAGTGACCAGACCTCTGACGCCTTCCCTGCCAGCGTCAACCCACAGCTCCCTCAGAGTGGTTTCCACAATTTCTTGGGAATCTGAGGGGCCAGAGAGCCCTCTGTGCCTTCCTAGTGCCCTTGTTTGTGTAGGATGTCGGGCTTGTTTCTCTGCCCTCATCTCATCCTTGAGGCCAGCCTCAGGGTGATGTAGACATGGGTGGTCAAGCGTCCAGGTTACAGGTGAAGCAGCAGGCCCAGAGGGCAGGATGCTGGCCATTTGTGCAGAATGGTGGGGCCAAGAGCAAACCGAGGTCTGCCTGCCAATGGCCTGGTGCTTTGATTTAAGCACAGGAAAAGCTCAGGCTTGGGGAGGAGTGTGCTGGTGGGGAGTGGGGCCCTGCACACACCTGGCTCACAGCAGCGGGTCCCTACAGCTCCTGTGCGGAGAGGGACGAGTGGTACAGCTGTCTCGGCAGGGCCCTTCCTGAAGACTACAAGGCGCAGGCCCTGGCTGTCTTCCACCACAGTGTGGAGGTGAGTGGTGGGCGTGGGTCCCAACCCTGCCTCTCAGAACTCAGGTTCTGCAGCAGGGTCACCACGAGGGACCTGCCCTTTCCAGATGGGCCATAGCACCTTTCATGAAGGCACTCCCTCAGTCCTTCTCCCGACTCCATCCTGCCTGTGGCCTCCCCCCACCTCAGGCAGACACAGGGCCACTCCAGAGCACAGCACCCCCACTTAAAATCACCCAGTGATGCTGTTTTTAACTCCAGGTTATCGGCCTGGGGTATTAGACACAAATGATAGCATTTTAGAATGGGAACCTAACCTACCCCCAACCCATACTCTGGATGGTGGGTCTGACTACACTGCCACTTGGTGACTCTGTTGCTCCAGATGCGGGAGCGGCTGGGAGTGAACCTGGGGGAGAGGCCCCCCACCTTGGTGCCTGTCACACACGTTATGATGTGCATGAACTGTGGCTGCGACTTCTCCCTCACGTTGAGGCGCCATCACTGCCATGCCTGCGGCAAGGTGGGTCCAGTCGAGGGGAGGATGAGCCTGGGCTGGGACAGGGGTGGGGTGGGGGTAGTTTCTGCCCAACCAGAGAGTACCAAGTGTCAGGCACAGAGCCAGAGAGAAAGGGTGATTATTCCTGTCTTACTCATCTCAAGTCCAGCTCCAGATTCGGCCTGTTCCATTACACCATCATCACACCCACCAAAGAGCATTACCAACTGCCGTCAAGTCACCTCTGACCCCTGACAGCTGCCTGTGTGACAGGAGAGCCACATGGGCTTACAGGGGCTGCTTTTCAGCAGATCACCAGCTCTTTTTTCCAAGGCCACTCTGGGTGGACTCAAATCTCCAACTTCTTAGTGAGCAGCCAAGCACATTAACCATTTGCATCACCCAAGTGAGCAGCCAAGCACATTAACCATTTGCATCACCCAATCAAAAGTAGTTGTCCTGGGAGGAGAAAGTATAGTGTTATGGTTAGATGCATATGCTTGCCGGAAATGCCATAAATCTGCTGGAAACAGCAGCCAGCGCAGGGAAATCAGGAAGATACCACCTTGTTCAGCGATGGAGACACAGGCGCCCTGGAGGTAGGGGAGCTGGGGCTCGGGTAAGTGCTACCCAGACAGGTGTTCCCAACTGGGTCTGCAGATCGTGTGCCGCAACTGTTCTCGCAACAAGTACCCCCTGAAGTACCTCAAGGACCGGTTGGCCAAGGTCTGCGATGGCTGCTACGGGAAGCTGAAGAAGAGGGGCGGGGACATCCCAGGCCTGATGAGAGGTAACACCGGGCCCGGGCTCACCTGTCTTCCATGGTGGCATAGGGGGCTTCTCCTAGGCTCATGGTTCACAACCCAAAACCCCTTTCCCTGAGATTTTCTCACTCCATGGAGGGAGGGGAAGCTCAAAACAAAAGCCACCCTCCAAAAATTAACTGCCACAAGTCAATTCCGACTCCTATAGGACAGAGTAGAACTGCCGAGGCTTCAGGAGTAGCTGGCCTATCTCTCTCCCCCAGAGCAGCTGCTGGGTCAGAGCCACTGACTGTGCTAGTGATCAGCTCAATGCATAGCCCACTACCAAAGGTGTGAACGTGAACATCCCTTTAAAGGGCCACCATGTGTCAGGATCAACTTGATAGCAGTTAAATTTTTGAGTTTTTAAGTCACACCATGTCACCAGTTCCCCAAACATGTTTTTTGTGGAATATTGATAAGGGTTCCCAGAAAAGGGTTCTGTTCTCATCCAAGTTGGGGTCACACTGTAGGCTGTAGTGTTCTCCCATGCACTTTACCATGGTGATGGTGGTAGTCTTAAAGCCAGCTCCAAATCATGGTGGCCCATGTACAACAGGACAAAACGATGCCTGGTCCTGCACCATCTTCACAATCATTGGCTCGCTCCCATTCAATGCTGTGGCCACTGTGGGTTTTGAGTGCCTTCCAACCTAGGAGCCTTCTAACACAGCGGTTCTCAACCTGGGGGTCGCACAACCCTTTCACAGGGGTCGCCTAAGACCATTATTTCCAATGGTCTTGGGAACCGAGACACCGCTCCTCTCTCCATCTCCAGACAGGTCTGCCACATGCAGATATGCCCACATGTGGGGTCACCGCATTAGGAAGGTTGAGAACCACTACTCTAGCACAATACCAGGCAATGTGTTTTTACTGACTGATTTTCAGATATAGTTCAGTTCTGACTCAGTCATTCTCCAAACTAGAGCAGAACTGCTCCATAGGGTTCCCCAGGTTGTAATCATTACAGAAACATACTACCCCATCTTTCTCCCACATGACAACTGGTAGGTACAAACTTCCAACTTCTGGTTGGCATCTAAGTGCTTTACTGACTGCATCACCAGTGCTTATAAGCTTCTTTTTTACAGTTTTATTGGCACTTCATCCACAATACAATTCAGGAATTGTACAATCTTTACCATAATCAGTTTTAGAACATATTCTTTTTCCCCATATACATTATTCGTGTAATTTTTTAAAATTTTGATAATATATACAACATTCTTGAGCAACTTGTACATGTATAATTTAGTGCTGTTGATCATACTCTTCCTGTTGTATAATCTTTGTTATCCCTCTCCAAATTGTTCCACTGCCATTAAAATGAATTCAGTGCCCCTAAGCAAAAACTCTTCCTCAAGAGTTGTATATACATCATTGCTATCAGCTCTAATGCTCCCTCCTCCCTAAATTTTTTTTTTAAGTGTCCTGTCGACCTATGTTCTGTGGTCCTCTTTTTAGAACTAAGGTTGCTGAAACTGACAGCCAAGTGTTTCCAGGTTCCGAGATGGGAAAGAACCCAAGTAGCCCAGTGGGCACTTGAAAGTTCTTAGTGAGGCTTTGTCCAAGCAGGCCTAAGCTAGAGGGGAGCAAGGATAGATCCTTTACTCCCAGAGACTGTGACAAAGGCAGCAGAGAGGATGGCCCAGCCTCAGCCTGTTAGTGCTCTAAGACCTAGAGAAGGCAAACAGCTCCCTGGGAAAGCCTTCCTGCCCTAGCCTCCATTGCTTGTGTTAAGAGGGCATTGCCTGTCCAGTCCCACTTCATCAACGAGGCTACTTTGGACGTCAGGCGGTGCAGGGAGCTTTGGTCTTACAGGAAGGTGTGTGCTGTCTGTGCCCGGTGGCTGCTTACCTCCTCCCCCACGCTCACCTTCTCTTGGTTGCAGAGCGGCCCGTGAGCATGAGCTTCCCCCTGTCCTCACCCCGCTTCTCGAGCAGTGCCTTCTCATCAGTATTCCACAGCATCAACTCCTCAACCTTCAAGAAACCGAAGAAAGTTCCTTCAGCCCTGGCTGAGGTAAGGCAGGTGTGAGGGAGCAAATTTGGAAGGTCCAGTAGTCCTTTTGGGCAACTGGGTCAGACTTAACGCTCCTTAGACTCTTCCCTGTCTCTGCCTGACCTGGTCTCTTCCACACCAAGAAGTCTGAGCTGGAGAGGGCCTGGTCTCTCCTTCCAGCCCTTGAAACCAGCCTGCCTCCTGGCATGACTAAATGGCACTGGTGGCATGAGGCAGGACTCAAACCAGGTACCACTGAGCCAGCACCAACTTGTGGTAACCTATGTCTGTCAGAGTAAAACTGTGCCCCACAGTGAGCTTGTTTGTTTCATCTTTTTAAATGACTGAAGAAACAGCATGGGGACAGCTGACCTCCTCTGGCTCCCAAGGCTTATTGCCACCAGGCAGGGTCAGAGTTGCCCCCACTCTCCATCTCTTTTTACTCTTTACTCTGACACCACTGTCCCTCCCAAAGCACTCAACTTCTGTGACTGGACTTAATATTTCATTGCAATGGGCACACAACTCACAGGCAATGCTCATTACTATGTATTTTATTAGTAAAGTTAACAGGTTACAATTCAGGTGCGAAATGCTCAGGATAGTTGCTCAGGCAGGACAGTTTCTTCTCTTCTGTGCTCCCAAGCAGGCCTCACTGGCCCGCTGCCCTGCTAGAGTAATTTCGCCTAGATCTTTTAGGGCTGCCAATAAATTCCCCCAAGGGCGTGCCACTGCACTATTAAGCCTCAAGGTTACACACAGGCCACTAGGAAGCTAGTTCTCGATTTCCAAGCTCTCTGAACTGACCACCCTCCACTAGGGGGTCTTAAACAGGCTCAGGGGTGAGCTTCTCAGGGCCATGGAACTTTTTGTGGGGAACTTCAGAACGGGCTCAACTCACGTCTGCCCTGCAAACTAGGGCTCATTTTCGCTAGATACAAAAAGGACTAGATTACATGTCTATTGTAGTCACAAATGTGTCCCCATGGATATACAAGCTTTCCCAACAATATCCAACATGAACTATTTCCAAGTTAGGCCAGTGGTACTAATGAACTAGGTTGAGTTGGGGGTGTCCACAGTAATTTTAAGCACCACTGCAGGGCAGTTTCAGAAACCCATGGGAATTTCTACTCTGACCTCTAGGGACATTATGACTCAGAATCAACTCAATGGCAATGAGTTTGTTTTTGAGAGGGCAGCACTGCTGAAGATAGCTTTTTCTTTTTTTTGCCCTCATTCCCAAAATTCGCTTTCCTCATGGGTTCCTGGAATCAGCT